AAAGAAAACAGAAGTCTCTCCTCTTCCCCCACCGCTTATCAGTTATTATTGAATATTTTATGTTTTATTCTTAAATATAGGTAGACCTGTCAGGCTATATTTATACTTTGTATCTTGTATATTAGTATTGTGAACATTTTCTGAATTACCATTCTTCAAAACCTTTTTAATAGGACTGAATGCTCCATCCCGCGTCTGTGGGGCAGGGGTGTCAGGCACAGATGAGTCACGTGGGGACATGAGGCGTCTAGGAGAACGTGGGAGGGCGGGGTTGGGCACAGGCGAGTGACGTGGGAAGACGCAGCATCACGTGGGAACACGCAGTGTGTAGAGAACGCGGAACCGGGGGAGGGTGTGCCAGGCCCAGGTGAGTCACGTGGGAACATGCAGCGTCTACGGGAACGCGGCGCGGTGGGGGTGTCAGACACAGGTGAGTCAAGTGAGGACGCGCGGCGCCTGAGACCACGCGGGGCTGTGGGGGCGGGGGTGTCGGTGCCGGGGAGGGGATGGGCGGAGAGTGGGGCCCTCTGTCTGATGCTCGCGGAGTTGTGGCTCAGACAAGACCGAGTCTAGAATCTCCGTGAAAAGCGTGCGGAAGGTCTGCTCCGCCGGCGTTGCAGCGGCCCAGCGCGCGCCGCGGGTTCAAAGCCTCCCCTGGAGAGGCCGCGCTGAGCCGTGCGCTGCCGCGGGGGAGGCAGTGCCAGCGGCTCTTCTGTAACTAAGGCGTTCGCGTTTAGAATATTACAGTTCGGTGTGCGATATCTTACTTAAAGGCCTCCTTAGGAGCACGTTTACCTAACTCCTTCCCGTGGAAATTAAGAATCCTGTTAGGCTGAGGGTTCGTGTTTCTGGGGTACAGAATAATCAAAATAAGCGCTGTGGCTTTACTTGGAAATGAACCGGAAGTAAATTTATGGATAATTTCACTTTTCGTTGTTTTCCTCCCGCTGAGAGTGAAGCGAGCGCAGGTGATGATAAACCTATAAGCCAAATTGAAGCCGTTGGCACTGTCCTCTGAGCAGTCACTGGGGTCCCTTGGGGTGGACTGCGGGGCCGGCTTCGCGGCCGTTCGTTCTGTGTTTCGTGTTTTCGGGCGTAGGAGCCGCGCGCTGGAGGCAGCGACGTGAGGCCCGGCCTGCTTTCTGGGCACGCGAGGACTTTGCATTAACATTTTGATTGGGGTGAGGGGAAAGGTGTATCTTCATAGTTGAGCGTTGTGGTGAGAATGGTTTTCCTTGATTAGTTATTGTAACACTTAATTTCTGATTTCCTGTTTGCACTGTGCATCCTGGCTGGTGACTGCAAGAACTTGCCTAGTCCCTTTCCCTGAACGGGACTTGAAAAGTCCGGGGCCTTCCTTTAATTCTTGCTGCGTTGGGTGTGATGTGTTTTGCTCTATTAGATGTTAACCATGGAGACAAAACGCTTTTCAAAGCGAGAGGCAACGGGCGTTTATTGGAGAGCAAAGAACAGCTGCTCAGGAAGCACTGATTCAGGCAGAAGCCCAGGTCTTGTTGACAGAGGCGGGGGGAACTTAGGAGCAAGGCAGCGCGACAGACGGGAAGGGGGCAGCGACCCCACTGCGGGAGGGCGCTGCTGGCGCAGAGCAGCTCACGTCATGGCGCTGCTTCTCAGCAGTGTTTCTGGTTCTCAGGCTGGCAGCCATCAGGCCGGTAGTCGTAAGAGCTGCGTTCCTGTTACCCTCCTGAACGGTCCTTTGGGATCCACCGCGGCTGCAGGCCCCCCCCCCGCCCGCCCCCGCCCCCGCCCCCGCCCCGCCCCCTGCAAAGGGCACTTTGTCCCGTGGTAACATCCAGGGTTCTGTCTGAGGCACCAGGCGTGCAGGGCAGTCCCTCTGGGGGGCAGCTCCAGCTCCCTTTTATTTTTTTTTTAAAGATTTTATTTATTTATTTTTAGAGAGGGGAAGGGAGGGAGAGAAACATCAGTGGTTGCCTCTCGCACACCCCCTGCTGGGGACCTGGCCCGCAACCCAGGCCTGTGCCCTGACTGGGAATGGAACAGGTGACCCTTTGGTTGGCTGGTGGGTACTCAGTCCACTGAGCCACAGCGGCCAGGGCACTCTAGCTCCCTTATAAAGTCACTCTGTGTATGGTATTTTTTTTTTAACATGATCCTCTTTTGATCAAGATCTTTCCTTGAAAGCAGTATTGATCAGTCATCAGAAGGCCGCTCTGATGAGTTATGAAAAGCATCGTTGGTTCTCCGTTGTCTGTGGCTGATGTGGGCGACCTACCCCACAGTTGACCCCTCATCACCAGGAGGGCTCCGTCCCAGTGTGTCGTATCCCATGCGTGGGGGAGGGGGGAGTGTGTTTTCAGGAGGCCTGGGCCCCTGCGAGCGCCCGGAGTGGTGCGTCAGAGCAGAGGGCGGCTTCACCGCCATGTTTCTTCTCTGGCGAACACCTGCTGTGGGTCCCGGAAGCTCTCGTAGGACATGGCAAAGGCCGCGGGGCTCAACTGGAAGCGCTGAGCCGCTGCAGCCGGCGTGGCGTCTTCCGGACATCGAGCTGCGCGAAATGAGCGGTGTTGTAAAGGCGAAATTTCTCTAACAAAGAACAGGCTCGGTTCAATGTGAAGACTGGATCTGAACCAGGAGGCAGCACCTCAGGGCAGGCAGGCAGGCAGGCAGGCGTTCAGGGGCCACGAGGCGTCAGTGGGCACTGCACTCAGTCATTCGGCTCGAACCCCAGTCCTGGCCCTATCTTAGCAGAGACGTTTCACCCCGGTGCAGCCGGGAGCTTGAGCGATAGCGGGCCCTGCCTTGCTCAGCCGGGGGACGGCCCGTTGTCTCCGTAACTCGTGCAGGGGGATGGAATGGTGTATGCTGGTGGGCTGTTGCCGGGCGGTTACCGTGATACCCGCCCCAGGGAAAGTGCCCTCTCAGATCTGGCGCTGTTATTGGAGCTGATGTCAACAGATACCAGACGTCCTTGGCAGTGCGTTCAACTAGTGGTGCATTCTGACCTTGAAATAGGTTTAAAGATGACGTTCAATGTGGAGTTAACTTCCCAGTCAGAAATAAGGGGGAGCCCTGACTGGTGTGGCTCAGTGGGTTGCATGTTCTGTAAAACAAAGGTCGCCGGTTTGATTCCCAGCCAGGGCACATGCCTGGGTTGCAGGCCAGGTCCCTGGCTGGAGGTGTGCAAGAGGCACCCGATTGATGCTTCTCTCTCACATAGATGTTTCTCCCCCCTCTTCCTTCTTTTTCCTCTCTCTAAAAATAAATAAAATCTTAAAAAAAAAAAAAAGTACAGGAAAGAGGGAAACAGTAACTGATGCAGCGAGTGCTTGGCCTCGCACCTTACTTGTAACGGGGGAGGAACTGTGGTCTGGGGACAGGAGGAGGAGGTGTCACTCTGCAGGCGTGGTCCACAGTCTTGGCCTGGCTGTCCACGGCACACGCCACCTGCCCCACTGCCACGGAATTTGAAGTTTCACGCGCTCTGTTGGTCGGGCAGTCCAGTTCAGGCAGGATTTCTTTAAACTGGTAACATGAATCTGGGAGTCAGCACCGTTACATTTGGTCGCGCGTGGATAGGTAGAGCGCCTGGGATTGTGGGGGGCAGGTAGGAATAGATAAAGGTTTTAGTTTTGCAGCAAAGGTGTAATTTACCAGGTTGCTGTAGGTCATAGGTAGCTTTGGGCGAAAATTTCTCACATTAATGGGTTTTTACTTTATCATACCTATTTATTACCGGTTCTTACCTTCTTCTTTCAGCTGTTATAAATTAAACCAATTTTTATCTTTATGGTTCATTGTTTTTATCTCCCATCAAAGACATTTTTGCCTATATCATATTCATGAAGATTAAAGACATTTTTTCTGCAGTCCTTTAGTTTTAAGCCTCACATTTGAACCTGTGGCCCAGGGCGAGCCGAAACAGTAGAAGGGCCCACGTGCCCCAGAGCCTCCCGCAACCAGAGCGGGGCCAGTGCGTCCTCCCGTGAGGTGCGGCTCTTCCTGACGCTGAGACCTGGGGAACAGCCCCTCCTCAGATCCTTGGTGTAGGGCTCCACCAGCCGCCCCAGAAGGGGGCGACGTGAACCGCCTCCCACAGCCCTTGCCTCCGGGCCTGGGGGGCCTGGAGTGGAGCGAGGCACCTCCGCGTGAAACCGCGGGACCCTGGGGCACGGCTGGCTCTGGGGGCTGTTGCGCTGTAGTGACGTTGCAGTGCGGGTTGCTTACGGGCACGAAGGGATCACGCACCCTTCAGGTTACCCTGCAAAAGGGCAGCAGCCCAGCGGTGAGGTTCTCGGTGTTTCCTGTGTTTCGGTTACAAGCAGCTCCCCCTCTTGGACGGCCGTGCACAGGAGGAGGAGACTCAGAGCCACGCGGAGGGGGCTGTGGCGCCGGAAGCTCGTCGGCAGGCCACCCCCTCGGCCATCGCCAAGGCGGTCGGGAGGCCAAGCCTCCGAGCTCCCTGCGGTGGAGCAGGGATGGGTCCTCCTAGCCAGGAAAGAAGGTTCCAGAGCAGCTCTCTGCTGTGGAGTTTAAGAAATAAAAGTAAATGAAAAACAATAGCAAAAGACTCCCCAAAAAACCCAAAACAAAGCACTTCAGCAGAGCACCTTAAAAGCGTCTGATTTCAGGCAGGCGCCGTCCCTGCCCCCTCGGCCTGGGATCCGCTCTTGCTTGGCTGTAAGCCGAGGCCTCTCCCCCCAGAAAACAGTCGGCCGGTCTGACCAGCCGTTAGTGCACGAGCCGGATGCCACTTGCGTCCTGTTCTAAGACGTGGTGACCGAATAGGAAGCGGCGGGCACACGGCAGACGGCCTCCTCGGTTCCCTGGGCTGTGATTGAGGAGGAGAGCTGCGGGGAGGGTTCGTGAGCTGGGGAAGCGCCGCGCGCCCCTCTTTGGCGGTGCCCCTGAGCTTCGCTGGACTGAAATGCGCTGGTCCTGTGGGTGACCAGGCGCATGGGGAGCTGGGGGGGGCAGGCGGGCGGCCCACCCAAGGAAACCCCCTGCTTTGTGTTTTCTAGAATGTCGTTCTTTCGGGCGGCTCGACCATGTTCAGGGATTTTGGACGTCGGCTGCAGAGAGATTTGAAGAGGGTAGTGGATGCCAGGCTAAGACTCAGCGAAGAGCTCAGCGGCGGCAGAATAAAGGTGGGGACCGGGCGGGGGTGCGGGAGGCTCTGTTCCCGGGCGGCCTTGGCTCTCTCTCTGACCCGGAGCCCACGGAGCGCGGCTGCCCACGCGGCAGGGTGTAGAGCGGTGTTCGGATCCCCGCTCAGCCATGCTGCGAGGTTGCGCTCCGATGTTTGCTGCGGGACCCCTTCGCGTGTGTCCTGAAGACCGACGGGCCCAGCGATGCAGCCACAGCCGCAGTCTGCTCCCCTGCCCTGGCTGCCCCCAGATTGCCCTTGGTTGTGAGGTCAGGCCTGTGATGGCCGGTCTCCCACGGAGAGGGGCCCTCTTCACAGGCAGGGCTGCTGAGTCCTTCGGGAACGTCCCCAGGGACTGAAACGGCCCACCCGCTCGGGGAGTGCCCGCAGGTCCCGCCTGAGAGAGCCCTCCCTGCTCGGAGGCCCCGCCCGGGCCCCAGGGCAAGCTTGGGCCTCCATGCGCGGTGACCAGGAGCACGCGCATGTCCTCACCTGCTGGTCACACTGTTGGCAAACGTCATTTCTCGCAGCATTTTTGGGATACTTAGTGTTATTTGGAATTATTACTACAACACTAAAACATTTGTTCAGTTGAAAAAAATGAACTGGGTTAGTTGCATGGATTATTTAATTCTTATTTAAATGCCTTTAGTGTGAAAAACAAGCCCTCCCTGACTTGCCTGCTTTGTTCTCTGCACCACCCTGGGCTGGGGGCTGGGGGCTGGGGGCAGGGTGTGGGGGGCGGGGGGCTGGAGTGGAGGTCCAGGGGTTGGAGTGGGGGTGGGGGGGACAGGGTACTTGGGAGCTAGGTGTGGGGGAGCCGGGGGCCCGGGGTGGGGGACCGGGGGGATTTGGCAGCGGAACCTTCCTTTCTGAGGCAGCAGGTGGCCGTCGCGGCCACAGAGGGACGGGAACGTGGAGAGCCTGTGCTGTCTGGGTGGGAGGAGGCTGTGTCTGTCCGGGGGAAGGTGGCCGGAGACGTCGGTCTGCCCCGAGTGACCCGCGCCCCTCCTTTGCAGCCCAGGCCCGTGGAGGTGCAGGTGATCACGCACCACATGCAGCGCTACGCCGTGTGGTTCGGGGGCTCCATGCTCGCCTCCACGGTAAGTCCCCCGTGGGCGCCATGCCTGCACGCTGGTCCTCTGTTGCGTTTGGACAAATACTGCCTCATGAAGGTTCAATAGTGGCCGAGGCTCAAAACACTCCCACATTTAACTCCGCGAGATAGAACACACGTGGCCGTTGAAGTCCTCACGCGTCCTTGCTGACGAGGGGCGAGAGCGTGGCGAGCTGTGAAATCCAAATGTAACCTAAGACGCCCGCGTCAGCCATAGGGTCCCAGGCTTTCCCAGGCACTTACGACGCACCCTCCTCCTCACGTGTGCGAACTGATAGCGAATTGCGGATTTAGGGCAAGTGCATAGTCGGTCCTAAACAGGCTGGACAGATTTTTAACAAACGAGTTGTCCAGCCCTGGACCAGGGCAGCGTGGTCCGAGCTGGGTCTGGAGGTGGGGAGGTTGCACGAGGGGAGGGGCTCGCTTGCTGGACAGTTTGCTGCCTCGCCTTCTTTTCTGGAACATTCACGGTCTCCTGGTTGTTGCCCCTCAGCCCGAGTTCTTCCAGGTCTGCCACACCAAGAAGGACTACGAGGAGTATGGCCCCAGCATCTGCCGCCACAACCCCGTCTTTGGGGTCATGTCTTAGCGCTGGCCATGACGTCGCCAGCCAGTAGTGTCATGTCGGTGAGCAAGTGTCCTTCAGAGCCGGAGATACCGCGGCCCCTGTGAACGTGGCGTTTGGTGTCGATGTCGAGGAGGGGACCTGTGGCGCTGAGTGTGGGTGGCACAGCGGCGCCAGCTCAGTGACGGCCATCGTGTGCCGCCTCCGTGGCCTCCCTCCCTCTCACGTCCCTGCCGTCCACCCGAGCTTCTAGTGATGAGTACTGTTCTGAGGGCGTTTAACTGCAACTTGAACAATCATTAGGAAAAACAGCCTAGAACATGATGCAAACTAGTCCCCCCTGAAAGAATGTGGGGCCGTAAACCCTGTCCTTCCAGCCTATTTTTGTAAATAAAACGTTATAATCTGGAAACACAAATAGATGTCCATGTTTCCCGTCATTCCATACTTCGTGGTGGCCGGTGCAGTGGCTGGTCCCGAGCGGACGCTGCTGTCCCCAAGGCAGGCGCCCTGGCCCCTCCCTGGGACGCGCCCTGGTCGGGGCATAGGCACAGGCATCGGACTGCGGGCTCGGCCACGTTGGCTGGACCGTGACTCCGTGGTGCCGGGGCGACGTGCGGCCTCGGCGCTGCAGAGCGTCACGTGAGAGCCGTCCCCAGTAACAGGCGCTGCCGTGTCCTTGCGTGAGCCTGCTGGGGGGCCGTGGTGTGGGTGGGGGTGCCGGCTCGTCGCGGGCGCGCGCGGCGCGGGGTGCTGCCTGCCCAGGGAGGAGAGGACTCGCGGTAGGATGGCCTGCGGGGCGCGCTGCCTTTCTCCTGGGTGCCCATGTTTCTTTCAAACAGTGTTGGGGTTGGCTTCACACCCGTGGAGGGTCTGATGGTTCATACCGAGTCTGTGGGAGGAAGTTTCCTAGACTGATGTGGGTGCCCCGTCCCGTGCGCAGCGACCGCTCAGCCGTCGGAGGTGGTGCGGTGTGACCCGGTCAGTGTGTGTGTGGGGGGAGGGGTGCCCCGGGTGATTTCCAGGGTCTTTTCCGAGGAATTCAGAATTCACGACCTCGAGAGTTCAGTAAGTACTTTGACCTTTACTCAGTAGGTCGCTGGCTTGAAAGGTCATTTGCTAAATTAAGAGATATAAGTTTACTCCATTCATATAACGCTATTTATTTGTTTTAGGGGAAAGGAGGTGGGGGGAGGGAGGGGAACGCCCATCAGGCGCCTGTCGTAGGCGCCCGGACCGGGGCACCCGACCCGCGACACTGGACCCGCGACCTGTCGTCGTTGGATGACGCTTCAGCTAACTGAGCACCCACCCAGGGCCCTAGGCTCCTTTTTAAACCGGTGTTTATGGTATTTCTTCCGGGACATAAAATACGTTTTATTCTCTCAAAATTTGCCCTCATAAAGAAGGATTTGCTAGTTACGCTAGTGATTTTAAGAAAGTCTGCGTGTACCTTTTCTGCAGATTGAATCCAACCGTCATATAACGATGCTGATGGGTAAAATCAACCTTCTGTGATAAGATGCCTCCCTGAAGTTTTCTGTAAAAACATCTCAACACACACACACCTTAACGAACGTTCTAAAATTTATAACTCAGTAGTTTTTGGAACCGTTGCACTTTCTAATGGTGGAGGAAGTTGCTTTGCCCTGCTTAGCAGATGTCGATCTAAACTGCACTTTGTGACGCTGAGGACGTCACAGGACGCGTTGACTCGAAGTCTGGTAACTGCTGCGCGAATGTTCTCTAGTGTCGTCATACTGACAGCGGGTAGCGGCCGCCCGGGGCTGCTCTGCCAGTGCCGTGGGGGGACACCTCTGTTCTACGCAGGGGTCGCTGCCCACTGTTCCTGATGGCTTCCGCTTCCACTTTTATTACGTTTCTAGCCAAGACTGGATTGAATTGCGCAAGACTGAGGTTTTGTTCCTACATATGCAAGGGAGAAAACCGCCAGCGAGAGGAGCCGGCGTCGGAGGGGGCGGGCCTCAAGAGGACGCAGGAGGGCGGTCTGAAAGCACCAGGGGTGTGAGGGGCAGGTGCCCGTGCAGGGGGACCCCCGCCGAGTGTCTGTGGAGCCCAGAGGGGAAAGGGGAGGGGCCCCTCACGTGGCCTCTTTCGGGTCGGGGTTTAGCCAGCAAGTGAGGTGACAGGTGTCCAGGGGCTCCCTGGGGCTGAGGCCACTGCGAAGCCCAGGAAAGGCGGGGAGCAAAGGGAAGTGAGAGGTGGGGAGGGGGCTGGGGGCTGAGGGCCTCAAGCTCCAAGGTCCGGAGGCGGGCCACGGACGTGGAGTGCCTCTCGGCGACAACAGGGTCGTCGCGCGGGGGTCAAATTCATTGGACACGGAGGAGTTCAGGGTGGCGGGTGGGCGGTCTGGTGGGCGGTCTGGCGGGGGGCTGGCGTCTGCTGGGGGGCCCGGGGCCTCGGAGGCGAGAGCAGAGCGGGGGTCCCGAAGCCGGCGTGGGGGGGCGCCCTGAGCTGAGCGCTGACGCTGTGCCGGCAACCCCGCCGGGTGCTGGCTGCGCATGCCAGCGCCCCCGTGAGACCGGGGCCTGGTCCCCGTTTTCCAGGCAGGAAACTGGCTGAAAGACACCGGCATGGCTGAGATCACACCGCGAGGGTGCGGAGAAGTCTTGATCTGGTCTCAGTGTGCGTTCTTAACCAGTCCCATGGAAGTAGGTAGATTAACGGCCACTGAGTGGGGCGGGGGCGGGGGGTGTCAGCCGAGGACCTGAGTCTGCGGAGTGATTTTCTGAGATGCTGACAAGTAGCGTTCGGGAGCGGCAGTGGGGAGCTAGAAAAAACACCCCTGGATGCAGACCCTTCGGTTGGTCGTGTCTTCGAGGAAGCTGCTGATACCGGAGGTTTTGATGTATAATTAATTTTATTTTTGTTCAAAGTGCGTTGCTGATAGATGTTTGCCATGTGCCTTGGCTTTATTGTGTGTCATAAGGCAAATGTGATAAAAGGGCATTGTTCATCTGAGCACTTAGAGCCACAAGGGCCCATAGCGAGCGTCCAGTGAATTTTAGCCGCCGTCGCTCCGGGAGAAAGCACCTGTGGTGCCCTCAGAGCCCTGCCCGTCAGAGTGGCATCAAAAAGATGGTTTGGGTGGAGAAAAGAGAATTTTAGGTCCACGAGCTAAGTGGTCTTTGGGACTTCCAGCAAGAAAATATTTTTAAAAGGATTTGATTGATTTATTTTTGGAGGGGGCGGGGAGGGAGGGAGGGAGCAAGGGAGGGGGAGAAACATCGGTGTGAGAGACGCATCGATCGATCGATCGGCTGCGTCTCACACCCGCCCTGACCGGGGCCCGATCCTGCCACCCCGGCCTGGGCCCTGACCGGGAGCCGAACCGGCGACCCTTCGCTTCGCGGGACGCCGCCCAACCAACGGAGCCACATGGGTCAGGGCAAGACACTACTTTTTAAAAGATACTAATACACAGTTGTGGAGTCCGAACATCTCCAGGCCCTGTTCCTGCCGTGCCATTGCTGATATCATCCAGTCGCTTACTGTCTACAGAATAAAAAGGCGCCCTGTGCTTGACGCGGCCCCCCCCCCCCCTGCCGCCCCCGTGAGTCATCCTTTGTGGGCCACGTGAGGATGTCCTCGGCTCTGGTCATGCGTGTTCTGGGGCCCTGCTCCCGTGGAACCCTCTGAGCTTTCGAGAACCACTCTTGGTGTCACTGCTGTTTCGGCGGCAGGATGGTGGGGAGCCCCCGGAGCTGATCAGCTCCCCACAGGGGCCCCGCCCCCGGTCTCCCAGGATGCGCGCTCTACATGGCGCGTTGGGGGAACCGCAGAGGAAGCCTGGCTTGGAGCGTTCAGGCTGTCAGCTACCGTTGGCGTAGGACCGAACGATGGGAAGTCTAGCCCGTGCGTTGGGACTCCCGTGGCTGTCCGTGCTGCTCACCGGCGACGCGGGAGCCACAGCCCACCCGGTCCCTCCACCGCGGCGACCGCCTGCCTGCCGTGAGACCAGCAGGGGAGCTTGCCGAAGGAGCTGTCCTGTGGCAACAGGGCGGACGGACGTGCGTGTTACAGTAGGAGTAGCCAGCGTCGCGCCGTGACTGACGAGCTCTCGTGTGACTGGAGTGATTAATTCCTCCTTTGTGATCTCTCCCTTCTATCTCGTTTGTGAAAATTACGATCGTGCCAAACAAGCTTGTGAGGTTAATCAAGTGCACAGCTTATTTAACACCGCAAGAGAGCCCGTTAAGAATATTTATCTGTTAAATAATTCTTTACTTAATTGAGGAATATTTCATTATGTTTCTTTTAAAAGTAACTGTCAGGCTTGTTAAAGAGAAATAGATTGGCAAAATAATTGTGTGGGGGTTTTCATTGGCAATTACATCAATTTCACTTGGTCAGATGGAAATAAAATTTTTTTAAAAAGAAAATAAATGATAGCTTCATATTCACGTGATGGAAGGGTTTTTCTAGTGTTAAAATACTGGTTTGTTCTATCTTGTATTATGTCTCAAAGTGAGCAGGAATTTATTCCCTGCAGGTCGACGTCTCAAGTTTTACACTTACTTTTAGCTTGGGAGGGCTACAGATTATTTCTGGTTGTGTGTATGTACAGTTGTGTATATACATGACTAGTATTTGCCGCCCTGGCTGGGTGGCTCAGTTGGAGTGTCGTCCAGACATGCCAAGGTTGCTGGTTCAGTCCCTACTCGGGGCACAAACAGGAATCAACCAATGAATGCGCAAATAAGTGGAACAACAAACAGATGTTTCTCTCCTTTCCTCTCCCTCTCTAAAATCAATTAAAAGCTCTGGCTGCTGTGGCTCTGTGGATTGAGTGATGGACTGTGGACCAAGGGGTCGCCAGTTCGATTCCCAGTCAGGGCACATTCCTGGGTTGCAGGCCAGGTCCCCAGTAGGGGGCGTGCAAGAGGCAACCACACATGGATGTTTCCCTCTCTCTCCTTCTCTTCCCCTCTCTCTAAAAATAAATAAAATCTTTAAAAAAAAGAGAAAAGTCTCTCAGTTGGTTGGGTGTCGTTCTGCAGAGTGAAAGCTCGCTGGTTCAGTTCCCAGTCAGGGCACCTACCTGGGCTGCAGGTATAGTTCCCGGCTGGGGCACCTACAAGAGCAACCACTCAATGTTTCTCTCTCACGTTGGTGTTTCTCTCCCTCTCTTTCTCCCTCCTTTTCCCTCTCTCTACAAATAAATAAAAAAATAAAATCTTAAAAAAAAATAAGTGTGTGCTACTAAGAATTTCGGAAGTCTTTCATTGGTAAAAGAGGATTGAAAATTTAATTGGTACTATAGCTTTAAGTTATTAAACAATAATTACAATCCTCAGATTTGAGGAGGAAAATTGACATGATGTGGTGCTGGTTACCTTTTCAGCATTAAGTGTCAGCTCAGCTGTGCCGGTTGATGTAATTCGCTCTCG